CACCCTCTCCCTGCTGTGCAGCTCTGCATGCCATATTGCAAACATATTTTTCAGCATGGGTGGGAGGTAGCACTGTGGTTTGGGCTTTGCTATTGATATCAGGATTTCCCTTTTTCTTTGTTTGAAATTTTTTTTCTTTGGAAATAGAATTGATGGTAAACAGGTGTCATTTAGTCCACAGGGGAGGGACAGCGAACATTTTCTTGCAAATTTGAATAAGAAATCACAATTTTCCAATTTTTCTAATTAATTCAGTGATATATTCATCATCTCATGAAATCTTCAGCTTGAACCTTTATTTGGATTATGTAGAAGAATAGAAGTCTAAATTTTGTAGACTCCACTTGTAATTAAAACCCACTCCAGTAAATTAGGGCTCCAGCACTGTGGCTTATTGCCAGTGGAGGGAAATTAGGGGATTGATTGATCCTCAACCAAAAAAATCCCAATGTCTTCCAAAAGGACAGCTTCACACAAAACATTCAAAAGTCTAACAAGCTGTCAGTTCTCTCCATTCCTTTTAGCACTGTTTTGTCTGTCTTCTTTGAGCTGAAGGCTCCTGCCAAGTAAAGATTCATTTCTCACTTGCCTATCAGATTTTGAAGTTGGACAAAAGGACCCACTTAGCAATTGCAGGAACTGTTATAATTTAAAATGCAAGAACATCGGATTTCTGCATTTCTTCTAATCACTCCACTGTTTGTTTTTTGTCCTTTGAAAAAAGGCAGTGAAGAACATATCAACATTTTAACCTAATCTTTGGCTGGCTGTTCATGTGGAAAAGGCAATAGAATGTTGACTCTACTTATTTATATTGATTTGTGATACTAGACAGAAATATTTTGCAAAATTCCAATATTTATCCTTAAATAAGCTTTGATAGGAATGATTATTTTTTAAGGGTGAGAGGTTAATTCTGTGACTTTACAAATTTAAGCATTGCTGTCCTTCCTGTTTTCCTGGAATCATTGGATGTTTCAGTACAAAGACTTGCTCCCCACATCAGGAGCTGAGCCAAGGAAACTTGATGGTTTTGATACATGATGCTGGTGTTTTCAATAAAGACAAACCTGTGATATGAAATACAACAGCCCTTCTTATGCCTGGGGAAGGCTTCCTGAGTTAATATCTGATGAGTGATGCGTGGTCAGGTGCACTGTATCACCGGGCATTTCTGTCACCGGAGGTCTCAGGTCATTCAGAGGCATTTCCCTCCTCTGCCTTCCCATCCCCTCCTGTGGCTGTGGTGGTGGCACTTCAAAAACTGAAGAGCTCTGCTCAGACCTCACTTTGTCTAGTTCCAGACGACTCTAGCAAGGAGGATGGCGTGGGGCCCGCCAGCAGCGATTCTTCAGGGAAACCAACTTCCAGCTGGCGCTCGGGAACCGCAGGAGGGAGCGCGCTGCCCTCCCAGATGCACCGCCCCCGGACAGAGCCCGCCCGGCCCCGCTCCCCATCCCAGCCCCGATCCTAGTCCCACTCCACACCCCAGCCCCGCTCCCCATACCGGCCCCGCTCCTCATCCCATCCCAGCCCCGATCCCAGTCCCGCTCCCCATCCCAGTCGCGGTCCCCCCGCCTCTGCCGCACCGGGAGTGGCCGTCCTGCCCCGTTCGCGAGGCTCGGGGCCGTTCGGCAGCCCCGGAGTTCACGGGTGGCTTCTCTTCCTCATATAGGAGATAGGAGCCTGGAATGTCGTGTTCGATTTTATCTCCCTGCCACCAGCCGCTGTTACTGGTACCAGCCCCTCAGGATGTGACTGTCCCTTCTGGATTTCAACAGTATAAAGGGAAGGAGTTGGCAGGTCCTCTTTAGCCGTCCCGGTCCTGAGTGTCCCCATTAAACATTTTTTTAAATGTAAGGACCAGTCAGGTTTGGGGGGGTTTTGCATGAATTTCTGAGATTGCTCATGAAAACAGTATCTTCCCCCAGCCTCAGCTTCCTCAGCTATAACAGCATAGCAGCAGCACGAGCTGGATACACAGCACGTTGTAAAAACACAATTTTTGAGGTCTAGCTCTGCTCTTCTCTCTAGAATAAAGGCAGAGTTCCTCACTTTTCACTGTGCTTGCATTGCACGAGGCACTGAAGCAGCCTGCTGCATCCTCTACCTCTGCACCCGCTCAGCCCTGAGCTCCTGCTGCTGCCATTACCAGTGAGGGCTCTTGCCAAGACAGTTTTATGGACCTACTGAGACAGGCACTGGCAATCCCCATTTACTGGTTTTTAACCATGTCTGGCATAAAAGGAGCTCTCTGTTGACTGCAAACTGACAAAAGACTTCTGGAAAGGTGGTTCAGCTATGGTACAATACAGTCCATTCCAATAGCTGACCCATGGTATTGACACTGTAGAAACAGAGACAGAATTGCAGAGAAAACTGTACCCTATGGATTTCTCAGTTGTCTGTATCATAGTATCAAATGAAACTACCAATGCTGTTAGAGGAATACATTTCTGCTCCTTCATCCACTGGTCAGTCACACACTACTGCAAAACAAAGCTTACCCACTTTTTAGGTATTCTTTTTTTGGTTTTGATCAATAAAACTTTGTCTGCAATATTGTTAATACTTGTGCCTCTCGCCACTTCTTCTTCTTCTTCTTCTTTTTTTTTTTTTAAAGATCTTGCATGTTTGTGTGCTTTGGAAAAGTAATTACTTGACATAACTGATGAAACAGACACATTGTAGAATCAATAAACCTGTTCCTATCAGAAGAAAATAAAGTGCACAGAACACTTCTGTTCCCTGTAGACATAAACAGAAGGTAATAGCAATGCTTGTATGGGACAATTTACAGTTCTTCTGCAATCAAGGTTAAACTAAAACTTTCAATTAGTTGCTATGCATCTCAGCTTCGCTGGTTAGTAGGAAGATGACAGTGGATGAAGTTCTTTCAGAACTGTTTTTTTATGGGCAGGATTCAGGTGGGGAGGCACTGGGGGGAGAAATATGTTTTCTAGCTATCTACAAGTCCCTGGATGTCCTAGATGGTGATGAAGAGAGGTGAATATAAGAGTGGTAGGAACAGTTTGTCAACAAGTATTGCTACACAGCATGTGCAAGAGTTAATAAAATAAATTATACACCACATTTTCTTTTCAAGCAAGCTTTAAATAGTCCATATGTAACAGAATCATGTGTTACAGACAAGAAACTCTTGCTGCCAAAACACAGGATGAGTGTTTTTCCCGATCGTTCTTTCCAAATTACAGACTTAGGAAAAAATATTTCAAGAAATTACAAGATTTTAAAAAATAAAATTATGCTAAAACCCAGAAAAGGCCAAGAGAATAGACTGGTGAAGTACATGAACAAGTCATCAGAAAAATGTTAGTACACAGGTACTTACAAAAAACTTACAGGAATTGACATAAAGGCTTTTAAGACACAGATAATTAGCAGGCTAATTCAGGATCAAAGGGCAGAATGCATAGGCTTTATTATAAATTCTGTAATTCATGCATTTGTGTGTGCAGATAAAATATATTTAAAGCCGTGTATTTAAATGCCATCAAAAAGACACTTGAACTTCTTCCCACCAACACCTGGTGGCTTCAGGGAAGAAGAACCCAGTTTTACTTACTTTTGTGCACTGGCCTAATGCAAACTCATAATCTGTAAAAGGGAACAAAGTATAAGAAAGCAAGCAGGCATTTTATCTGAGCCACTCAGCAACACTGGGACAAAGATCCAAACCCACTTTTGGTAATCAGCGTCCCTGGAATGGAATGGCAGCAGCACCAGCCTGGAGAGTTCTCAGTGTGTTTCAGAAAGTGGCTCCAAGAAGAACAATCCAAGGGTTGAGTGGGAAAAATTAGAAATTAACCCTGTGGTAAATAGATAGATGGATGGATAGATAGATGGATAGATGGATAGATGGATAGATAGATAGATAGATAGTTGGCTTTTTTTCAGAGCAAAATAAGGTAGCACTACCAAGTAAGTGGCAATATGGTGTGTGCATTAAGATATATAAGTGAAATCTGCTTGGGGCACCTTCACTCAAAGGAATAAGTCTTCTTAAAATATAATTATAATAATAATTATAATAATAATAATAATAATAATACTTCTTTATACTTGCCACTTGTTAGCAATTGTTTACATCGTAGAAAAATAGACAGTATTCTGTAACAAGAAATATAGTTACTTTGTTAAAATGGGCTATTTTAAACCAGCTACTATTCTTTCATATAAAGAATTTCTAAACAGCAAAACAAAAACAGGTAATACTGAGTGCAAAACAGCCAGTGGTATACTTTGCATTGGTTTGAAACAGTTGCCAGCTACTATAATTACATGTTCTGTACACTGTACTACAAAAGTCTTCCATCTTTTAGAAGCTTTTGGGTTTTGTTTTTCTTCTTTATAGGTGGCAAGTAAGTATTTAATCCAAGTAAGTTCAAACTCTGGAAGTCAGAGAGAATTTCACAATCAGTCTTTGCTACCATTCTTTCACATTCCTTCCCCCACACAGTGCAGCAGCACTTTCTACTTATGGCCAAAAATCCCTTAAGTTAAACAAAGTTTAGAATGTAGATACTTAGAAGTGTAGCTTATAGATTCACATTCTTTTAAAAATAATTTCACAAATTTCCCACGTTTACATTTACACCAATGTAACACCTCACTTGATGCGTTTCATTATCCTTGCTAAAGACTGAAATAAAGTTCAGATGAAAACTCTTTGCCAATGGTAGGTATTGTCTTAAACACTACAAAGCCAGATGGTTCCAATGTAGAAGTCATTTTTCTGTGATCTTCACAACAGTCTCAGACATGAATAGCTAATTCCTAGTGGCAGTGGTAAAGGCATTATCAGTACACCATGAACATCACAAATGGAGACAATTCCCAAATGTTAAAGAACAAAAACCAAACAAAAAGCACCCAGAAAAAAATCAGTGAAACATTCTTAGTAGAGCAGAAATTTCTCTATTCTCCTCTGCATTAATCTCACACCTTTTCAACTTTGGTGGGGTCATATGTATCTGGAAAAAAACCAAGAAAACACTATTAATAATGTATTGTGAAATCTATTCAATATTTCTGGCTGTGAAAATGACACATCTTTTCCCTAGCTTTTATTTAAAAAAAGAGAGCTGATAAAGCTTGCTGCATTAAAGATACATATCACATTCCTGACCCAAATTCTGTGCTTTTACCACTATAATTCAGGAACAACTCTGACCAAATGCATGAAGACAGAATTTGGGAAGGCCTTGGGTAGGTAGGAACAAGCAAACTGAATGCTAAGTGATTGCTTCCAGTTTTCAGGTGCTTTGACAGGAAGAAAAAGACATACCATTTTCTCCCCCTTGTACTGAACACTAAGGACTAGTAAATGCTTTAAGCATCCTAGCAGGGTGTGTAAGGCAGACTGAAGGAGTGATTGTGCCATGCAGTCATCAGAGTCTTTTCATTTGATTGCAAATCCTTCATTTCAGATTAATTCAACAGAAAACAGAAAAGCACAGCTGCATTGCATCACTATGGTTAGTCTGTCTTGCTTCAGTCTGCAAAACTGCAGCTCATGTTTCAGCCTTCTTCACCAAAGCACTGAAATGGCTTGCCAACACTCTTCTTCACTTCCAGCCTCCCTCCTGCCAGTTCACAGGATATACCATAGGCTGGTTTTCCTTTTCCCAAATCCCTGAGGACACTCGTCTATGAGATTTCTTAATTGGATTTATCCCACTGCTGGCCACGTAGTAAGCAGACATGAGCCTTTTCCTTCACCCTTGTCACTCTGGGACAGGATTGCAACAAAAAGGCTTTGCCCTGTGAGCTCTGCCTGCCCAGTGCCATCATGCAGACACCTGGCTTGCCCTTGATGTGCACGGTCATGGCATGTAGGAGCCAGGGCTACCTAGGGAGGAGTCTGCAGGCACAGAGGGCCCGGACAAACCGGCACTGCAGCCGTGCTGCCGCGTGCTGCTTCTGCTCTTACACAACCTGGGAATCTGCGCTAACCTTAAACGTCCCTCCCGTAGGCTGTACTCCCACTGCACTCACATTTAAACAGCTGAGCATGAAAATAATTCCACACACAAATATCACACTTTGGAGTAAAACATTCATCCTCGGGACTTTTGTGTTGATGTGAGTGAAGGTCTTCATTCAAACATAAAAAGCATAAAAATCCTCCAGGGAAATTTTTGCTCCCATGTGCAAGTGTCCATCTGCTACATCCACACTCACGTCAAGGGGGAACTGGCTAAGAAAGGATTTCTGGATTTGGCCCCAGTGGGTGGATTTGTGTTGCAGAATCTTTTATCACTTCTCTTGCCCACCCTCCTGGAGCTGCTAGTCCAGCCAAGAAACGAGTCTGTGCCAGCAACACCTCTGATTTCTGCTATGCCTTTTCTGGTATTTCCAAACAGACACCACGTGAATGCAAAAAAACAATAGAAATAAAGTTTTTGAGGGCTAGTGTTCTCTAGGATAATGCTGCATCTTTTTAAGCTTAATGCACTGATGGTGTATGAAGATGCCTCTAAAGCCGTAACATTTTTTTAAATCATAAATATTTTGCCATCTAAACTGTTAAAACATAAAATTCTGAAGTGTTCTGTGACAGGTTGACCTAAGAATAAAAATGGATTTGCATTTCAGAAACCTGATTTTCCTAAGGCCAGACACATTCACATTAACAGAATTCCCCACAAAATTTCAGGTGCTCACTGTTTCAGGGAGTGGCAAGACAGGGGTGGGGAGGAAGGGAGAAAGCCAGGCCACAAGACATGGAGCCTCTGCATGGCTCAGTATATTCCCTGAAAGTTTACCCATGCCCTCAGCACCTAAACCAAGGACACAAAAGTGCCAGACTGACAGGCCAGGTCACCCTTTTGAGGGGGACAGACATTGGAGTTCTAGCACTGATCTAGAAATGCTTATTCAACATTTGGTTAAGCTCATTTGAAATGCTCTCTACAGAAACAAAGCCAGATTAGCAGACTCATGTCTCCAAACAGCAAAGGAGAAAAGACATCCAATGCATTTGGGAACATTTAGAGATGTTCTCCTAATGGCAGTATTTGCATAGTAAGATGAGCTTGCACTCAGTTTTGGCAGGGCTCTTGCTCTGAGATGACTGTTCGTCTGCCAAGCTACATTATACATGTGAAAGCCTGTTTCTGCTAAGGGCTGCAGCCTCTGTGACAGGCCCAGTCTGCAATTATAAGTCTAACATCACCCTACCTTGCTCCAAATAGAGTGGCCTTTTAGAATGGAATATCTGCTCTTTGAAAACATCAAATACAATGATTTTTCAGGATTAATTCTCATTTGGGCTTTCAATGGTACCAATAAGCTATTGTGAAAATTGGAGTGAAATTTAAAAGAAGAAGACACAACATCAGGCCTTCTTACAAATATGAATTTACAGTCACCCTGTAAGGTGAAGCTTTTGGGGCCAGCAACAAATCAGGGTCTCTTTGGATGGGAAGAGGCCAGAAGCCACCTGCCCACCCCATGTGTGTCACCCTGGACATGCACAGCAGGAAGGGACATTCATGCCATCCAAACATGGGGAGGGCTGTTATGGCTGAGAGGGAGCTGCTGCAGTGGGAACACACTGCAGAATATAAGCCTGGCATTGTCAGCAAGAGAGATAAATTTAGACCTAATTTACTGCAGAATAACTCTCCAATAAAACGCACACAATCTGTTTTGATACATCCCTGAAGTCATGTCACCACAACAGTTATTTTCTTCACTCCAGCAGAAACCCCAAGGGAGGAAAGCATATGAAATGCATGTGGGGCAGACCAGACCTGATGGGTACAAGAAAGCTGAATCAGTCTGTTTGAAAAATCTGGTCTGGAGAAATACAGTTCAGAGCAGAGAGAGACAAAGATGTGGCATACAGAAAAAGACATGGAGAAAAAGGCTTCAAGGCTGCAAGAGTCAATACTTAGAACTCATACAAGCATTTCTTTTCAGTTGGAATTGTGTAAGTCCAGTTTAAAGTATACCTAATTTAATTTCAGTCCCTCTGTACTGGAAAACTGTGAATAAATGTTTATCAATAAGGTTAAATGAATAACCTGTGCAGATTTCAAGGCAAAGTGTCAACTGTAACAGAAAGGATGGAAAAAGGAAGGAGGAGATTAATACTAATTTAACAGCTTTCACACTCTATGTTTGCTCACTCCAATTTATTTAATGGACTAGGCAGGTGGCCTGGGAGATTTATCCCTTTACACAGGTCTATAGCAACAACTGATTTTCAGTTGTTAAAAAAATGCTAAATGAAAACTGTTTCAGAGAGGAAACTGCTCATGTTACTTTGGGGATGCATATGGACTACACAAGTTTACATGCTTTAGAGAGAGATCAGAAACACCAAAAAATAGTAAAAAAAAAAAAAAGGTGTTCACTGAAATAGTCAACTTTCCATTTGTCCTGGGGTTAATAGTTATTCTCAACATCTGATCTGGAAAATATTCATGAGAGAGACAGAATTTCCAGGCCCCTCTATGCAGCCATTTCCCAGAGGCTTCATAGAAGACCATCAGATTTTTATTTTTAGTTTCTTCTGAACTATGATATAGTATGTGTCTACTTAAGTATTAGAGAAGGAAAAAAATTGGCATTCAAGGAACAGCTATGATTAAATGACCACACATTCCCAAACACTGGCATTAGAGTGATTGTCTTTGAACTCCACTGTTTGAGCCTGGCCATTCCCTGAAACAATTAGACAGAGATAAGACCTTAGGGAGCACTCCAGTCTCTGTGAATGAATTTCTGTATCACAAGTGAGTTTTACAGTAACAATTCCTAAAATGGGACCAGAGAACACTCATCTTTTCCACAAGGAGAGCAAAGTGGGTGGCTCCCAGATGAGGATAGTACCTCCTACAGCCTGTTACTATTTGAGCAGCATTACGTGGGCATAAGCAAACTGATCATGCCCATTACATAAGAAACGAGTACCCATCTGGATCTCCCATTAACAGGGTCTTACCTAACGAAAAATCTCTGTCGATCTTCTTCTTGTCCATTCCACCTAAACATCCATTTTCACTGAGAGAGATGACACGCTTGGAAACAGCCCCTGAGCTGGCCAGTTTGCTTCCTCTCTCCTCTGGTACCTTCGACAGCTTCTCTTCATCCACCTCCTCTCCCGAGTCTGCGCTCTTAATGCTCAGGCGTCTCATGCGCGACACAGAGTCAACTTCCTTCATGCGCACCAAGCGATCCATGGCAGTCCGGCTGGGTGGGGATGTGAGCTTGCCTTGGAGTGTCTCTATTACTTTGGAGGTGCTCCTCACTCTCTTTTCTGAATGCTGAGAGGCAGCTGACTTGCAAACCAAGTTTTGGTCCTCACCTTGGCTGGGACTCACAGGTTGTTCAAGAACTTGCTCAGTTACCAGTGGTTTAGCATTGGCTTCCTGGAGAGTGGCCTGGCTTTCAACAGGATGTAAAGATCGCCCTCCCGCTCTGACAAAGAGAGCACTCTCTGTCCAGCCACACTTTCGTCTGCCTTCATAAGAATCTTCTTTTTTTCCTTCATTGTTACTTACTGTGTTCCCTATTGTTGATGACTCAAAGTCCTGAGCACTGTTTGAGGGGCTAGTGCTTGGGTGGGGCCCAACCTGGTCACCTGGAAGGAGAGACTCCACTGCTATATCTATACCTAAAATTCTTGCAGCTCTTGCCTGCAATGACTCATTCACAGGGATTTCCACTGCATTTGCATCTGAAGAGTGATCAGAGTTGTTAGCACCAAGTTCTGGGGCCACATCAAGTCCTACTGACCTCAAATCTGGCTCAGAGCACCTTTGGTTCCTCTTTGTTAGTGACAAACATACTCCTGACCCTCTCTCTAATAGCCTATCATTTGTGGGAGTTGCACCTTTGCTCAGTTTAACAAAGTCTAGGTAATTTTGGTCTTCACTCATCTCCTGCAAGACAGGGTTATTGAAAGGATTACTGTGACATGAACTACTTGAGCTACTGGACAAAACTCTTCTGATAGGGCTCTCATGAACTGGCTGTTTGCTTGTTCTGCTCTTGGCTTCCCCCATCCCCATTTCTATCAGTCTTCCATCTGCTGGCCTGACTCCTTCACTGCTCCCTCCTGGCTTTGAGAAGCCTTGAGAGCCACCACATCTTAGCTCGCCACCATGCTCTGTCCCCATGCTCCAACTTTCAGACTTACTTTTAACCCTTCCTGGCCTAATTACAGGCACTTCTGGCACAACCATTTCTGATTTCCCACCATGTTTTAGCTCCTGGCTTGATTTCTCATTTCTGGACTCCCTCCTGTGCATAAAGGCACCTGCCTGCAGAGGAGCTGCAGCACTTTCCAAATCTTCTTCACTGCTTGTGCTCTCCTCCTGCCCTTGCAGCTCCTTGTTAAAACTTTCTAGCTCACTTATTGCATCCCAGGGACGGCGACTTACAGGTTTCAACAGAAACTGCCCAAATGGTTCTGTACTGTTGCAGGGAGCACCTGGTTCTCCCTTAACTACATCTCCCTTGGAAAGAAGGCCATTTTCCCTCTCTTGGACAGGCACAGGCTGGCTCTGGTGGGCTTTTGGGGAGGGAGACTTAAGGACTGAGGTGGCAGTCCTAGAAAATGCACTGTTGCTAGACTGGCTGAGGTGAGTCTGGCCCTTCATACTGTAACTGTTCTGTCTGCAGCTTCTCTCATCAGAAGGTGACCCTGTCTGTTTTGCCCCCACTGTGGATGTTGTACATCCTGGGAGTTTTGGAGATAGCTGCTTGCTACTATCAGGCTTCCCAGGCTTTGTACCATGGAAAAATTCTGGGCTCTCAGGTTCTTCAGAGAAACTTGTCTGTGTCTGCTGGTCTTTGTACTGATCACCTGGCCAGGAGCCAGAATATTTGAGCTCTCTGTGTTTTGTAGGCTGAATAAATCTGAGGTCATTCATTTGTTTGAACTCTTCTGGTCTCCACAGCTCTTGTTTTTGTAACTCATTTTTATTGGTCATGCTTCCTGTAAGCGCTTGTAACTCCAAGTCTGTTGAAGACATACTTAAGAGACTTTGTTCTTGCAAAGCTCCATTGTTATCAAACCTATTCTTATCAGGGCTCTGAGTTATGTTGTTGTTCCTATCTGTATCTGGCAGATTGGATTCTGATTTAACTGGGATAGAGACCAAACAAAATATAGTTTCATTCATTTTTTTCTTTGAACTCTTTTTGCTCTGCATCCCAGTTCCAGGTTCAAACTTTTTCACTTTTGTAACAGTCTCACAGGTGTTGTCCATATGTGAATTTCTTACAGAAAGTTTGCCTTTCGTGTACTCTGTGCTGGCTTCGTTGCGGGGGCTGTGATTAGTTGCTCTACAATTGTCTCTTTGGTCTGGCAAGGCACAGTTTTCCTGATCTCGGATGGATGGTGCCAACCATCTGTTGCTATGTGGGGAGCTGTCGGAAGTTCTTTCTCCCTTCGCAGAACTGGACAAGTTTGATGCATCCACAAAGGCACTGTTGTACTGTACTTCAAGATTTCTCTCTTGCAAAGCACCAGAACTGGGACTACATGCATTTTCAGTGTGGTTAGAGTTGCCCTGCAGACCTTCCAGTGGTGCAATTTTAATGTGTCGTATCCGAGGATCATCAAAGGGAATGTACTGAACGGAACGCAGGTGGTCAGCAGGGCGCCTTGCATGGCTTTGCTTCCCATGAGGAAAATGGTTGTCTTTGCAAGGGTCACCCCCCACTTCAAAAGTATTCACTGCTGGTCGTTGGCAGGGGACAACCTGCTCTGCAGGACCCTGTGGGTCACTGCTGGCGCACGGGTTGGTTTTAGGCACTTCACTGGGGGAATGGGGGGTCACGTGTTGGTGAGGTGGGGATTTGTAAGAAGGAGGAGGTACATACACTGGGGGCTCCAAACCAGGGTCTGGAATGCCAGCATCTTGCCTTGGCTCATTGACTTTGGCTAAGTAGGAGACAGGTTCCTCTTTCTGGTAGTGGTCCTGGAAAACCACAGTTTCTGCAGGTGCCCTAGTCTGCCGCTTCAGTTCATAGGATGGAGGCTTGAGAGGTCTCCCATACTTGGGCTTCACCAGGGGAAGGACATTGCCTCCTGTTCCATGGTGCTTGGCAGGTTCCACACCCAGTCTGTTTGGGGGATAGGAGGGGGTTTTAGTGACGCTGAGTGAGTTGTTACTGTTGGTCAGGGAGGGCATTTCCACGCACCGCATGCTCTCAGGTGAAAGGACCCTTGGCAAGGACTGCGATTTCCCCCTGCTCTGGGTGCTGAGTACGTTGTCTCCCAGGGTCAGCGAATAAAGCTCTTGAAGCAGCTTCTCCCTGTCACCCTCAGACATTTGCCTCCCCACCTTTTTTGGCTGGTTCCAGCTCTCTATTTCCAGACTTTGCCATTTGCAGGCGCTGGGCACTTCACAGCTTTCCTGCAAGCCGCTTCTTCTGCCATACCCTGCACCCGAGCCCACCTTCAGCTGATTCTCCTTGGGGTGCCGGGGTGCCCCGGGGGATGCAGCCAGGCCTTTCATCTCCACACTGGCCTTCTGGGAATAGCCCAGTAGCACACTGAAGTCCTGTCCTCGTCTTCTCCAGTAGGCCAGATCTTTATCACTCTTGGGCTGGGAAGACCGCGCTAAATGAGGCCTGTCATAAGCCCTGGAAAAAAAAGCAGTGTCAGAGGCAGTGTGCACAGGTGCCTGTTCTTTCTACCATGGGTAAGGCCATTAGGAGGTCAAATGATGAGTTATGCCAATGGGGTTTTGTGTAATCTATTTGCAACCAGATGACAATTTTAATGAGAGGATTTAAAAGTCAGTCAATTAACATGGGTAAAGGAAGGGAAAGAAGCTCTTCTGACAGGTTGTTAGCTATGCAAAGATGTTAGAAAGAGAGACAAATGCACACAGTTACCTGCTGTGCAAACATGCACAGCTCTCCTTGATGGACATCAGAAAATTCCCTGCCCGCAGCAGGAGGCTTGGAACTAGATGATCTTGAAGGTCCCTTCCAACACAGACCAGCCTCTGATTCTAAGATACCATTCTAAAACCAGAAGTGACTGTCTTAAATTACTTCTGTATCCTGCTAAATTAAAATCTATAGATGTCAAGGAGACTACTGTGGTATTCAAGTTTAATAGAATTCCAAGAAGCAGAGGTAGGGAGAACAGGTAGGTGTCTATATCGTAAGATTTCATAAGATATAGTCTGTAAGAAACATGATTTGCATCCTGGTAAAAGTGCTGAAATTAAACATGTCAGTTCCTGAATTGATTCTTGTTCATCTTTCTGAGGAACAAATTTCTTCAGGGTGCTTTGGATTAAATGACACATGTCACAACAACGGTGATGTATCAACACACTTCTGAATAAAACGGAACCAATATTTTAAATGTAAAATACTTCAAAAGAAGTATAAAATTCTTAAATAAAAGAATCCATCAGTGAAATATGAAAGACATTAGACATTGCAGATTAGAAATTCAGAACACAGATTTACATGAACAAAATAGGTTCATTGTCTGTTCTGAACAGAGTGTAAACTGTTTTATACATTGCTGCAGAACAAAATTGGTACCCTTCTATATAAATAATTAATTTTCTACTTGAATTGCACTCTGCTATTCTTGTACCTAAGGTGTCCAACAATATAACTGCCTTTACACTATGTGGCTGCCACCAGCATAAGACTGGAAAGAAAAATCAAAATTGACAGAAATAGGACAAGTATGTAGATAGAACCCAAGAATTTCTTCCTCCTCCCTGCACCCCAAGGTATATAAACAGCGTCATCTGGCTCTTTTTTACTAAAAACATGATCTATTTAAATGATCTATTTAAATAGGACTTTGTGAAGACATAATACAAGTCAAAATTCAGAATGAAAATTAAGCCATGCATATCCACAGCAATTTTCTTTTATGTATATTACTTTCATCCTATGAGTCTAAAAGTTTAAAAACCAGACTGGGATAAGGAGCATCTTGTTCACATTAATTCAATTGGATTGAGATTGAGCTTCTGAACAAAATGTTCTGCCTCTGAAGCATGAAACACAGTTTGATTGCTGAACCCCAAGAAGGAACAGACATCTCCATTAATCAATGAAATATAACGGACACCTCCTATATCAGAAGCGACTGTGGTAACAACAAAAACTTCCATGTGGAAACATACAGCTGAACAAATGTTGTTTTCTACCTTTTCATCTCATCCTTATACTGCTACGGCACCATCTGTATCTGTGTTTACAAAATGAGGGGAGAAACAGGGTCCAGTAAGAGTGAGGAGAAAATGAACAGGTTTGCTCTTTCTGATTGATTTTATCCATCACTGTAAAAGGGTCTACAGAAATTGCAGGAAGTACAGTCGTAGAGTCCAAGATCAGAAGAGATCATTAGAATTATTTAGTTTGACATCTTGCTCAGCACAGGCCATCAGACTTCTTTGAGATGATTCCTGCTTAAGTGGTAGCGTCTCTTAGAAAAGCACTTAAAAATTCTGATTTTTAAATATCCTGTGATGTTGAAAAGCTTAAGTCACCATTAAAAAAAACCATAAAGTAACGCAAAATCCTTTTCAACAGAAAGCAAGCTCCTCCATTTATTAAAAGCTGTTAAAAAGATGAAATTTATTTTTAAACGTTAATAACTAGGCTCCAGTAATGAACTTTAGAACATGATACAATCCATTGTGTAACTTGTACATCATTGCAACAAGACTGTAAGAAAGAAATTTAAAAGGAGGCATTTAGAGCATTTTAAACCTGATCCTTTCTAAGATTACTCATAGGACAGGCAGTATCTGTCTCTCTAAATCCTGGCTGAGGCACTAGAAGTGCTTACATAGCCAGCCTCTATCAGGGACCCTGTAAACTTGTGAAGATGACACTGCACTGTGCGGAGGGAAGAGGATGCTCCAAGGAGCCTCCAGTGCAGCTCCATCCTGAAGTCTCCTCTGCTCCCAGTGATGGAGAGCAGCTCCTGCACACCTGCATGCAGCCATGGTAGGCAGGCACAGCACCACCACCCTGCCTGTGGCCACAGCTGCAGCAGAGAGCACCTCCCTCCTGGATGTGTGGCACTTCTGGCTCTTGCAGTCCATCAAGTGCTGGAAGGGGAAACTTCCAAGAGCCTCCCCAAGTTTAAAATGCTTCACTGCAGCCTCACCAAAGGTGAGGTGGTGCATATCACTAGAGAGAAGACTTCAGAGCCCCTGTGTGCAGCAGCTCATCTCTGACTCTGCCACTCCACAATTCTGTGTCTCTCCAGGATGTGCCAGTGCTGATGCACAATGAAATGCACACCCAGACACAGCAGCTTCCACGTGCCTGACAGCTGGGAGGAGGATTGAGCCAAGGATGGAGCAGTCCTGTGGCACCAACTGTGGAGATTTAAGTTCCAGGGAGAGAGTGGTCCCAAGGGATCAAGGAGATGAGTTGTAACATTATGAACTCTCTTCTAACAGGCCTGCTTCTAACAAGTATCACATTTGCTCTCATAAAATGCTTTGAATTGATTCTATATAAAGTTAGTTTAATTAAAATGGTTTAAAACCCCCAAAACTATTTCTAGCTTTCTGTGAATTTTAGCCCTTTACAAGAAATGAGGCCAAAAGTCTAAGCTGCACTGGCTGTATGACCACATTTCACTGAGCTGTCTCGCTCACAGCCATGGATTGAAGCTGCCTTTTTCCCCTAGGGTGATGCTGGACCAGCAGGACCTCACATGATGCAACAATGGGGCCAAAAGTGAAGAAGCATGGCACAGGCATCCAAGTCCAAGTCCTGCAGAATGAGGCCACTGCAGGGCTATGTAGGCAATGTCTGTCCCTGCTGCTGGCTGCCAGCGTGCAAGTGGAAGGTGTTGGGCACTCAGTAGCTCATCCTGCATGAGCTGTAGGCACGGGCACAGACTTTGTGCCCCACAAAGAGCACTGTTAACAAAGCCAGCAAGGTGGAAAAATTTTCAGAGGGCTGTTCTGGATGCTGGCAGCTTCTGTTCTATTTTGAGATCCTATCCTCACATACACTCTTCTGAGACCCAGCACTGGAAAACACCAATATACTTTTCTAATTGTTCCAGCAGGTGATCTCATTAATGATATCTATTTATCACTAAATTTGCTAGCTACTAACAGTTCCTCCCACACAAACAACTAAGCAAAGTGCCTCTTCTCTCTACTTAGAACAGAATCAGAAGGGAATTCTGTGCAGAGAACTCTCATCTATACCCATAGGATCAGCTTTCCCATGTTTTTTGACTTGTCTCCTCTTCCAAACCTTTACTGTGTGGGCTTCAAATGCTCAGTTAAGCAAGGACAGCCAGGAGAGCCCTCCCACCATCTGCTCCCTCACACTGTCGCTGAAGAACAATAGGATGGAGCCAAACACCCCTTCCCCATTCCACTGGGGCATGACTCTCCCCTCACCAGCAGCAGGAGCAGTGGCTATGAAGCCTCTACCCTGCTCAACAAGGTTTCATTAGCAGAACAACCTCAATAAGCAGAGACAACAGCATCATCCCCTGCCATCACAAAACACCACAAGCCCTGCAAACCTGCCTGCAAAGGCAGCCACGAGCCTGGCAACATCACCCACTTCCACGGTGTATGGGAGAGGATTAGTTCTACATCAGTGGTGTAAACAGGAGTATGGTGTAGATAATTCCCTGGACAAGGAGCCTAAGCCCTGCTCAGAGTTGCTGTGGAACTGTCACCACCCCTGAAGGACACACACAGCCTGCTCAGGCCCTCTCCTGCCCTGTGCTAACAGGGAAAGCAGCACCAAGAAAGGTGGCAGGAAGCCTGTGAAGCCCAGAGAGAAACTCCCTGGGTGGTCATTCATCTTCTCTTTGGGCCCCAATTGTCCCCAGGTCTCTGCAGCGCGCAGCACTTCCCCAGAAGCTGAACCAGAAGCTGATTTCCCAGAGCAGTCCAGAAACCAAGAGCAATATCAAAACATCTGCTGGAGCTTACCATGGCCTGCCTGTCACCGGCATGAGCACACCCAGCTGGCCACCACAGGTATCTTCTCTCCAGCTCTGGAGCAGCTCACATGCACATGGCAGCTTTGTGACTTGGGAGGGGACCCAGAGGGGCTCAGGAGCTGACAGGAGGCACTGCAGTGCTGAGGCTTCCCTGGATCCAGCCTGGAGAGCTCCCTCCTCCCTTCCCAGCCCAGCCATGGCTGTGTCATGCTCCACACCAGAGACACTCCACACTCCCAGGCATGGCAAGGAAGGGATGATACAAAGGTTTTTCCAGCTGCTAGTACCTTGTTCTCAGTTCCCAGTAGGCTCACCGGGAATCAGAGCTTGCTGTAGCAGTAATAGCAAGAAAATATTTATATTTTTATGAAAGTGTGACAAAGCCATTTCCAGGGTTGTGTTCCCTATGTTATGTGGAAAAGCCACTTTTAAAAACCAGGATTAATATTTAACTATGCTGTAGACTGGCACGTCCCACCCCTTGCATTTAGGAAGAGATGTTTAAACTGTTAGAGAGCATTATTTGATATCTTGCCAAGGCCAGCAATTACAGATATCTCTGCCATATCCAAGATGTGGGGCAGATGTGTGAGCCCCTGCAGATGCACCAGAGGAATGGGAAGCAGGGAGGCAGCAGCCCTCCCAAACCCCTGTGCACCCACACAGGCTCTGACAAACAGGCTGCAGGAGCAGCAGTGCTGTGGCTGCTTCCACCTCACACAGTGAGATCCTCTTCACAACAGTATTTCTCCACACTAAACTGAGCATCAGCTTCAGCACCACTGCACACTCTCTTCCCCTGTTTCAAAACCTTCTTCCCTTTTATTCTTTTTCAGTATCTTTCCTCACTTTTTTTTGTTGTCCCGTTTACTTCATCCAAAACACACCAGAAAGGACTCTCCAAATTACCCTTACATCTGTGTTCTGTCCTTCCTTCTCTAGAATGGATGGTTCCACCTGGAGACCTTCCTCAGGACTTGCTGTCCTATGACTGCTTTAGAGGGCTCACATCTCTTCCTGCCCATTATCCTAACTGGCAACCAGCAGCCATTCCTGCTCCAGGCAAACAGGCTTGCAAGGGGAAAAGATGTGAAGGGAAAGAGCAGACAAGCCCAGGAGTAAGGGGACACATGGCTTTGCCACATGTTACTGAAGGTCTTTGTAAGAGGACAAGCTCCCAAGGTGACAGTGTTTGCCCTGCTTTCAGTTTCAAGCCCACTCGGCAGAAGGAAGGGGCTTTTCCTTGCAAACCATCGTCATACTTGGGCTGGCTTCCAGTCCTGCTCGAGCCCCTTTCCTTTGTCCATCTGCAGCCCTCAAATAGCTGCAGAACAATGGCTGAGTGTTGCTGTGTACACTCAGCTCTTCCTGCCCAGCCAGCCCCGGCCCTGTGTGCACGTACTCGGTGCTGAGCAAGCCATGGCTGCACAGGCACGTTCTCTGGAGTGACAATAACAGCTTCCACTGGCTTGGAGGTGTTTGTAAAAGAAGTGCACAGGCACCCTCTCATGTTTACTCCACGAGAGCAGCCTTCGGAGAACAAGCAAGTCTTCAATGAATGTAGGATCACCCACCAAGAGCTGCATGTGGCTGAATCCACAGGAAAACCTGGGTGTGTAAGTGGCAGAAAAAGCAGGGTGCAGTTTTCAAACTGAAGAAAAGGATGACTTTTTTCTTTTTCTTTCCCCCTGTGCCGGAACTAAGCTTTCCTAAGTCCATCAGAAAGGCCTTTCTCATTAGTAAAACATATTTTCCCACACTCAGCCACTTCCCATTATCCCTGTATTCCCAAAGGCCTTTCTCTAGCAGAAGGTGAATGCATGTGCCACTGGATGTGGCCATCCAGTGAACAGAAATGGGTACTGGGATGGGAGCAGGAAAGGATCACAGGAAGATGGTGTTAAGGGTTAGAGTCATGATTAGTTATCTGTCAAGACCAAAAGAAAGAGAAAGCAAAGCCATGGCATGATGCTGAAACTTACCCCCCTTCTGAAGTATGAAAAGTGGACAAACCCTGAAGGTCATGGTGGTAACCAGGACCTGCTTGCCTCCCTTGGCTCCCATGGCTGCTTTCAGTGCTGCTTGAGCTGGTTTTCACCAGAGGTCTCTTGCTGTAGGCCCCAGCTCTGGATTCTGCTTCAATCCCATTCAGTGCTGGTCTCTGAGCAGATCTGCTCCCCGTGGTTTCATGCCGGTATCCATCGTATCTGCTCTCGTATGAAGCAGGGGGATTTTTTGACAATTTGTATCCATGAGAAATCAGAAGGTCTTCCACACTGAACATGTTGTGCTGGATTCACTCACAGCTGTGCCATCAGAAAGCTCTTTCCAGCTGGACCCATCACTACAAAACACAACCAAAAAGGCCACTTAGACAAGAAAAGGTCCCTTTGATCAGCTGGTAGGCTCAGGAAGCTAGGAGTCTCATCTCCTCTACTCAGTTTTTCAGTCTCTTAATAAAATAGAAGAAGCAAAGTGCATGCAGATGCTGATGAATCATGTGCTGTCCTTCCCTAGACAATACACCTCCCTGCACTCAGCCAAGCAGCAGATGCTGTGCTGCTGCTGCTGACTCAGTCCCTTTCACTCAAGAATTCACTGGTGACTGCAGCTTTCAGGTTTCACTAATGCGACCTCAAAATAAAAACTTTGCACTGGAGGTAAGCCTACAACTTGAGCAGGCACTTCCTTAGACAACTATTTTTCTCCAATCATGGAGAGGTGTGCTCTGTATTATGTTTTAAGTTGCTGCAGGAGGAGGGGGTGGATTACAAAGCAATAAGCCTCTCCCCATAGTTCTGCATATTCCAATTAAAAAGAAATGTTCACATGAACAAGGAGGAAATATGCATAAGAACAAAAATGAATTATGCAACCACATGAGAAACCCAGGTAATATCATGCAATACTCCAGCTAAACAGTCCTTTTTACAGATTACTTTCTTTTCTCCCTAGATTGGTCTGCTGCAATCCTCAGCTAGAATAACACAAAACCTAAGATTTCAAGTATGCTGTTTTTACAGCACACTTCCATTGTGCAACATGACTATAAACAACACGTGATGCCCATGTGTATTGTGTCTCAAGGATCTGCAAGACACAGGATGGTCAAGATTTTTCTTCCCCAGTGACAGCCCTCAATTCTGTACTGACTAGAGCACAGATCCAGCAAACTGAATTAGCTGGCTGAAAACAGTCTCTGTTGTCTATACCACTCTCACAGCTTGTAATGGCAATTATAGAATACCCATTCTTCCAGAGTTTTAAAAAGTGGGGAAGGAAGGTAACGTTCTGTTCTGAAGGTTGTACAAAACAATGGACCCATCCTGATACATTCCTCCCTGTTTGAACTGTGTTAACAAAAGAAAGAAATGTTTAAAAGGTGGATAAAAAGGTAAAACACACAAAACACACAGAAATAGATTTATGTAAAATATAACCACAAAATTCTTTTCCCTGCATGAAGAGTTCATTTTACACATCTAGTGAATACTGTGTGTCCTTAGTAGCAGCAGGTCCACCTGAGGATCATGAGCCCTGCACTAGCAGCTGCTTAAGAGGAGACTGTCTCTGCAAAGATCATAACAAAAGTACATTTTATACACTGTCTCTGATGCTCTTCCTGGGCATGAAGAAAGGAAGAAGGTCTGTTCCTGTTGTTCACAAGGATTTACCTGAAATGGAGCAACTACTGAGATGGCTGTTCCATGTTTATTAGTACTAAATCTCTCAGGCTACACATACACAGAAGTGGATGTGTTGGCACACCATATAAACCAGTTTCTGTGCTGCAGCACTCCATGTGTTATAGCCACTCTTTGCCTATCCAGTGCCCAACCCACCTTGACTCCTGGATGCTGTGCCAGCTGTGGAGCCAGCCTGGTGTGCAGCTCCAGGCACCCAGGAACCTGTTAGCTACCCCTGCACTGCCCACACTGTCCACAGCACTCGCCCAAGGAGAGCTCACAGTGTAGAAAATCAGTCACAGTTGTTATGCAGAGCCACAATTTAACCTGGAACACTGCAAAAGTGGCTTTCCACCCTGAGAGCCTCCTGAACACCTAAACCGGTTTGTCCCTAGAGCTTAATGAATCTCCTCCCTTTTCACACATGCAACACTACACACCCTTTCAAAACAGAGAAATAAAACTCTGTGCTGAAGATATTAGCCCCTGCTAGAACAGAACTCCAAATTTCCAGTAAGAGCTTGGAGTAGATGAGCCAGCAGTAAGGACAAGCAGGCAGAAAACAGGGAGGAGAGGCACCCTTCCCTCATGGAAGGAAGGGAAGGCTTTGTGGGTTATTTTTGAATGCTGACCTAAAAAGCTGCTTTTCCATCCACCCCCTGCCTGGACTGTGCAAGGAGCCAGGTATGAGCAGAGCAGAGGGAACAGCTGGCTGCTAGAGCTGTTCAGCTTCTAACAGGAGAAAGATCCAATGTGACTTCCATAAACAGCAGAAATCCCATCGAAGTGCTCACAGGTGCAAGGAAGGAATGTGCTTTTCCTGCTGTTAGAAGGCTGCTTTGGAGAGGAGTTTAACCCCCTCTCTGCCACCCACTGCAGCCATCAGAGAGGCAAAGCTGTGTGGGTGAGAAACCTCCAGCCCATGGGGTTTACTCTGATCCTTCTTTTGGCACCAGTGGTGAGGAGTAGCAAGTGGAAGTGCGCCATGAGGAACTGGTATGACTGTCTCTTCCAGCTCTGCAAACTTGCCATGTGTGAAGGGGAAACCCCATGGTTACGTGTGCTGGGGAGGCCCATCTGGGAGAAGGATGCTATCACTATGCCCATCACAACACCACAATGGGAACAGCCAAGGGGGAGAATCCTGCTCCGTGCTCATGGCACAAGCTCCAAGGAGCCAGTAGCAGTGGTAGCAGGTGGCCACTAGTTGGGACATTGTCAGGACACAGCCTCAAAGGGCAGTGCAGAAGTCATGGGGAAGTAGCATCTCTGGCACTGGACCTGATCAGGGACAGGGAAGCCAGAAGTCCTGCCTGATCAAAGCTTGCAGGACATCAACCATGTCAGCACCCATCATGTGCAAGGATACTGGCCAGCTTTCTGAATCTGGCTAGAGTTCTGGGACACTCACCCCACCCTCCCTTAGATAAATAAACCTAAAAAATAAAATCAAAGGAATTGGATTGGCAGGAGTAACAAAACCATTGCTGCAGCATTCTATGTAAATAATCTGTCAGTCTGGACCGCAGAGTAAAGGCTGTGCAGAGCTTCTAATTTGAGGGAAGATCAACAACGCTGCAAAACAGTTTGTTTTTCCAGCCCTCATTTGTTTTGTTTGCCAATGACATCACTGCTTTCTGATAGGGTTTGCTTCCTGAGGATGCCTGCTATCTTGCCAGTGTTTCCGACTTGTCCCCGGCAGCCGGTACAACTCTGCAGTACATTGGAAACAGGGGCCAAGCTTTTCTCTGGAAACTTCTCAGCAGCACTCTCAGATGCAAAGAAACAAGTGTGAATGGCGGAAATCAGCATCAGCCCCCATGTAGACAGACACAATGGAGACCCACAGCCTGGGCAAGAGGAACACAATGGGATCAGCAGATGGAAACGTCATCAGAGCACCTCACCTTGGGGTGCTCGTTCCAGCAGCACGGAGCTCACCTCCGGCCTGAGAAAAGCCCAACGCACTCCTGAAAAACACCCCAAAGAAAGTTGGTGCTAGTTTCCTCTGAGCTGCTTCTGGAACTCATTCTCAGTGGGGGAAACACATTGTTTTCTATTTATGATCTGCCTTTGTCTGCAGTTGTTTTCAGTGGCAGGGGTTCCCAAGCCTTGTTATTTCGGGGGGTACCACCACCATCTGCATGATGACCAGTACCAGTGATGGTGAATGCCAACGCCTGCAGCAATGGCAGAAGCAGATCTTACCTCTGTGCTCTGAAACGACTTGCATGGCATTGAATGCTCCCTTCATGGTGCTCTGAGCAGCCCCTTGGCAGGCTCCTTCCTCTAGCCCAAGTTCCACAGAGTGGAACAGCAGCTACACATTGGGTGGGAGACCAGGAGTGACAGAGGAGTTGGTCCTGGCTGCCCTCTGTAACATCTCTCCTGCCCTCCACTACTTGAAATGTAGGGGAAGGTGGTAACCCTTTCAGTGGCTGAATACAACCCCTGAAATCCTTCTGGAGCATGATTTCCCCTCCCACCTCTGCAGAACTATTTATAACAATAATATAAATGATTTTGTACAACTTTCAAGAAAATAAAACATTGAAGGAACATGATTCATGCTGCAAAATGAAGCATACAACATCAAGAATTGCCCAAATCAAGGACACACAATTTGCTGCAGTCTCTAATTACATGACTTGAGGCTACTGAATTCTGCAGGACTCTGTCCTTGATTGGTGTGCAGGCTAGGTGATGGCAGTTCTTCCTGGGCTGTCTCTACAGCAGCTATTCAAACATTGCTTTGAAGATATAGTTACTAACAGGCATCTGAATTACAAAGAGTATTATCTAGATGGGACACATTAAACTAGCTTATCTTCACTCACGTCTGGGTGACATTATTCTCATTTCATATCAGACATGTGCCAGACAGAATATTTATGCAGACAGACTAAAGTGAAACAATCCTCTCGACTCTAGGCACCCAGTCTGAAGTGCTTACAACCTGATTTTTTGAAGGACTCAGCTCTAAAAGTGAATTAGGCACAAAACAACTGCTGCAAGAACGTAGTGCCTCTGCACATGAACTAAGTATGGCAAATAGCTGTCCACACAATGAAGACACAGACTCATTTTGGGATGAGCCAAAAAAACTGGTTGCAGTAATTTGTGTACTGTGCTTTCCTCCATCCCTCTGTCCATCTAATCCAACTCCAACACTTTTGTCCAGGAAGCCCCATGTCCCCCCCACCATGTTAACTTCTCACCACCACATAACCCAGTGCCTTCATTTCCCCCTTCCCACACTCACCAACACTTCTTGCTGTCCTCCCCCTCTCCTCCAGGATCCCTTCTCTGCCCTCCTGTCTCCTGGTCCCACCAGTTGAGCCACTCTTCCCACACAGCCCACCACTGTGGCAGTCAGCCCATCCTTCCTCCTGCACCCCTCACAGCTTCTGCTGGTCAGCCCTCAGTTTGCATCCATCACCCCAATTTCTTCCTTCCCCATCTGATGAACACCTACTGTCCTGTCTGCACTTCCAGCAGAAGAACCTCTGTGCCTGCTCCCAGATTTGAGACCCCATCTCACCTACACTGGAAGAAGAGGAGCTGTCATTACAGGGATGCTCCCACTCCAGCAGCACAGCCCTGCACAGGCACGCTCTGCTGGCACATCCCTTGGAGCAGCGAGGGCACAAGCACAGGG